CATTCAAATGGTAGAGTCAGAATTTGGCGTAAACAGAATGAGAACATGGATCCATAATGCCTTGTTACCACTGTGCAGCTAGTCAGCGAGGCTGTATACTGGATGCAACAGCCAGACATCCAGGAGGACCCCGCCGCTCGTGCCTTAGCAATTCACACGGGGGACGTTCTGCGAGGGATTTCCCTGTCAAAGGATGCGTTCCTGGCCGAAGAGGTAAGGCTGAATTTACGGCAGCTTCGAAGTCGGGTGGCGGAGATAAACAGGCAGCAGATTGCCATAGACTGCGGTCTGCCCATAGACCCGCTGGCTGATCTGCCCGACGTGTCCCCGACTATAAGCCGTAAGAAGAAGCGAAGAAACCGGAGACGCCCTGATGAGAAAACAATGGTTCTGGGGGCTGTCTCTCTGGCCGCTGCTTCTCCCCCCGCCGGTAATTGGGAGGAACCCCTCCCAATCCTGCGTCCAGCTGTGTTCGCTCCCGATGTCACCGCTACCGGGTGTCTGACACAGCCGCTATGCGGCCAATGCTGGCAGCTCACCCCTTCAGGGACTCACGCCTGGTTCTTAAAGGGGCCAGAGCAATCAGGGATACCATCCCGCGAGTTCCACGTTCCCTTAAAGGGGCCGCGCCTGCTCTTGAGGTGCCAACCCTGATGGCTACACCTGATGTGCACGACCCGCTGGCACTCGATCTGTCTGTCCCGCCTGCTCAGCCTGACCCGCCTGTCCAGCCTCATCTGCCTGTCCCGACGGATACCGCACTGCCCAGTGAGGTTCCGGCTGCGGCGCCCCCTGCTGGCCCAGAGTTGGCGGTCGCGGCAACCACTGCTACGCCCGTGGCTCGCCTGCCTGCAGTCTCACCTACGACTGAAGCCCTGGCTAGAAGGTTATTCACCCTCCAGGGCCTGTATGGCCCCCCTGATGGGGGAGCCAGCGGTGCGAGGTTCCCCAAGTTGGCTGCAATCACCCCGGTATCTCCACCACAGCAGCTGGAAACGGTGGAGGAGAACCTGAAGAGGTTGCTCCGATTGAGGATGGAGCAGGCTTCCCCAGCAGAGGATAGCGTGCCTGCTCCAACGGTGCTCCCAGAGGCGTCTGTGTCTCCTGCTCCTGCGGTGCCCCCTGTTGGCCAGGAAGCGGTGGTTCCTGTGGCGCCTGCAGCGCCCCCCCAGGTTCCTGCTTTCACCCCTGTTGTTCCTGTGCCTCCTGCTTCGGCGGCTCTGCCTCCGGTGCCTCCGGCTGCGGCAGTGCCCCCTGTTGGCCCGGAGCCTGAGGCGCCGGCGGCACCCCCCGAGGTTCTCTCTGCTCCTGCGGCACCCCCAGAATTGGCGGCGCCTGCAGCGCGCCCTGTTGGCCCGGAGTGGGCGGCGCCTGCAGCGCCCCCTGTTGGCCCGGAGTCGGTGGCGCCAGCAGCACCCTCCGAGGCACCGGCAGTGCCCCCCGAGGCTCCAGTGGCGCTGCCAGCGCCCCCCGAGGCTCCTGTGCCTCCGGCTCCAGCTACACTACCCCTTGCTGGGCTGGAGTGGGCGCCCCCTGCCCAGTCCCCTGTGCAGTCGCCTCAGCTCCCCGTGACTCCAGTGCTCCCCGTGACCCCAGTGCCTGAGCTCCCAGCTCAGTCCCCTGCTGCTGCTCAGCCCCCAGCGGTCCCGGAGGTCCCCGTACTGGCCCCTGCTGGCCACATGTCGGCGGCGTCCCCTGCTGGCCGCACGCCCGAGGTGCCCGCGGCCCTGCCTGAGGCCGCCGCTCTGCCCGCGGCACCGCCTTACCTGCCCGTCCAGCCTGGCTTTTCCGTCCTGCCCGTGGCTCCTGCTCTGGTGTGCGAGGCCCCCACGCCCGCGGCTTCTGCTCTGGCGTGCGTAGTGGAGTTAGAGGAGGAGCTTGAGTGGGATCTCTCTGGGATCTCCTTGACATCCCCGGCAGCTCCCCCTGTGGACCTCTTCAGGGGGTCACCCCAGCCACCGGCATGTCAGCGCGGTGTTTCACGGCTAGGCTGCCGCCTTTCGGTCTCCCGGAAAGGGAGGGGGCATCAACGGCCCCTTCCTTCCCCAAACTCCGGCTAGGCGGTTGGCCCCGGCTTCATCTGGGGCACCTGGTCAGTCTTCCACGGCCCGCCTGCCAGTGTCCCCTCCACAGCCTGCAGGTCCCTCGCCCGCGGCTCTCCCCTCAGCTCCCTCCTTGCCACCTCCACCAACCCCATCACCTGCATCCTCACTACCCTCAGCCCCTGTTCCAGTCCCGCAGCAGCCTGCTGCCCCAGGGTACCCTACTACCCAAGCCCCGAAGGTCCCCTCTGCTCCCTGCTGCCCCCTGCCCTTAGATCCCTTGGCCCCTGTGTTCACTCCCCGTCCTTTGTCACCGTTATTCCCTTCTGGTTCCTTTGTGCCATCCATGTTTGCTCCTCGTCCTTCCATGCCATTGCTCCCCTCTGGTCCCTTCGGGCCCTCCATGTTTCCCCTTCATCCCTCAGTGCCTTCGTCTTTGGTTGGTCCCTTTGTGCCCCCTGTGGTTCCCCTTCGTCCCTCGGTGTCTTCTAGTCCCTTTGTGGGCCCCACATGTTCTCCTCGTCCTTCTGTGCCTTTGTCCCCTTTTGGTTCCTTTGTGTCTCCTGTGTGTCCTTCCCATCCATTTGTGCCCATGCCCCCTGTTCGTCCCTGTGTGCCCCCTGGTGTGGTCCCTCCATTGTCCCCATTAGTGTCCCCGGGTCCCATGTTTCCGTCATTGGTGTCTTTGTGTTTGTCTGCGTTCCCCGTGGTTTGTGGCTTATTGTTTGAGTTGTCCACCTTGTGCCAGTTCTGTGTGTCCATACAGTTCTCTGTGCCCCGTTGAGGATTTTCTTTTTTGTCTCTTCAGGTCCCGTGTTCCCGGTTTCGTTGCGTCCATCGCCTCCCCTGGGGCGCGCCCAGAGTGCACGTCTTTGGGGGGGGGGTTCTGTCATGCCCCGATCGTCCGCTCCTCTTGTGTGCCACGCCCCCTCGTTAACCGCATGTGGATTCCCCGTGTTTACCAGCTGTTCCTGATCGTTGTCAATTATTCCATTGTATTTCGTTTCTGTTTGTTTCCCCAGTCCGGTCATTGTATTGTCATTCTGTTTTATTGCCTGTTGTTCGTTGAATTAAACCCAGTGTTCCCCTATTCATGGCTCATCTCGCCTGCTTCCCCGTTCGCCCGCACGATCGGCGTGACACACACACACATACATTGTGTGTAACAACTTAGAAACAATGTGAACAGAGTTAGGCAAACAAAACAGATGGTAGCTATACACCAATTTACATGTGTTCAGTAATTGGAGTTACTAAATTGCCCATAGGTGTGCATGTGTGGGTGAATGGTGAGTGGGTGAATGGTGTGTGAGTGTGCCCTGCAATGGTCTGGCCCCCTATCCAGGGTTGTTCTCGTGCCCATTGCTTCCGGGATAGGCTCTGGACCCCCTGCAATCCAGTAGGATAAGCGGGTTGGAAAATGGTTAGATGGAACCAGAAGGTCAATTATAGGGGAATAACATGAAAAGTCTGGGTTGCTACTTCATGCAATCAAGTCTCCCTCTCTATGAATTGGTGGCCAAATTCTTATCAATAAGTCGAAATTGTTTAGTGTGTGCCAGACTCTGTGCCTTTTCTCATTATCAAGATGCATCTAAGGTTGGGTACGTCTCCAGTATGAGGAGCTAGAGCTAAAATCGTTGTTATTTGTAGGTGATGATGTTCTATTGGTCACATTTAAAGTGGACCTCCAGAGGGCATGGTTCTCTCCTAGAGAAGAATGGAATCCTTCAGGTGAGGGGAGACACCTTTGTCCCTTGTAGAGGAGTTTAAGAATCAGGACTGGGTCAGGGTCAGAAGCAGCAGGTCAGCACCTCTTGTTTTTATGTCACTGTCCTCACTTATTGTCATGATCAAAAGAATAAGGTCACGAGAATTGGAAGCAGGCTTCTGGGCTTATTGATAGCATGATAGGGTTAGTACCCCAACAGTCCAGGAAGGCCAGAGAGTCTGCTGTTCTTAGTTTGGTCACCTATCAGGGATGCCACAGTCAGCCCTTGCTACAGCTTTATCAGGCACTTCACATCTCACTTGACTTAGACCTCATTGTTGCAGGACCCACAAGAGAATTTATATCTCCCAGTTAACTTGGGAATGTCTGGAGAGCTCCAGGATGAGATGGGAATGCTGAAGCCTGGACTGACCTTCTCAGCCTTTTGCTATCATGACCCCCACCAGGAAAAAAATTTGTAATCACTATCAAATACGACTGACTTTTAGTGCTATTTTTAAGGAACGTAAGCATGAAAGAGCTGAAAACATCTAGATTTCTCTGTAGATGTGAACTATAAAAACAAACAGAAGAAAATTCATAACAACTTTTAACCTTGCTTTTGCAATAAAAAAGAGCCAAAAACACGTGCTGGATGTGCTACATTTTGCTTAACAAAAGTGTTTGCATTGAAATACCAATTAAAGTACAAATACTTGTCAGTGGCAAAAGCTAGTGTAACATTAGCCTAGAGGATGTGGAAAATGGTCTCAACATTTTGGAGCACTTCAAATATTTGGTAATTATCTATAGACTGACCATTTTTACTTCATCAGTGTACAGCTCTCGTTTCCGAAATTTTACTTTTGTGATGAGGTCACAGACATCATCCTTCTGATGACCCTTTCATGCAGATCATGTTTGTGCAAGCAAACATTATATATTGTTATACCTAATGACAATTTGTTACCCTCTTAACCAGTCCTAATGGGTCAGTTAAAGTCTAATGACTTAATTACATTCGAAGACTTTAAAACTGGAAGGTTGTCACATTTTTGCACTCCTTTTTTCCCTGTTATTAAAGTTTATTACTGTGCATTAAATATGTAGTTTGCTGTAGCAGTTATTTATTTGTTTATTTATTGAAAAATCAATTAAATAGTGTTGCCCAGTCTTTTGCATCTAACTGTATTGGACATTTATTTGGTCAAAGATGCTTTTCTGAGTAACATGGTTATAAAGAGTTATTTACATTATCATAGCCACATTACCTTACTGCTACATGTAAGCTTGAATTTTCCTCTGACCTCACTGAACAAGAAGGTATTTCCACCCACAGTACTGCTACACAGTTGATATATATATATTTTTTTGCATGAATAAGTGTACACTATACCCTGTTGTGCATGACAACTCCAGGGCATCAGCGGTTTCTGAAATACTCAAATCAGCTCATCTGTCACAAACAAACAACGCCACAGTCAAAGTGTCATGTACGGTGCAGGTAGGCAGGAGCGGGAAGCCGCGGCAGGCGAAGGCGCAGCCGGAGCCGGGGAAGGCGCCGTCCGACGCCAAGCCGAAGCAGGGGGGCCCGGAGGCGGCCGACATGGAGCCGGAGGCGGGACCGAGGAACCAGGGGGGGACTCGGCGACCCCGAGCCGGAGGATCCGCAGGCAGCCACCGAGCCACAGCCAGGGGCCGAACAGGCGAGCCAGGGGGCAGGGCAGGCGGGACCCGGGCCCGACGCCTGTGTCCCCGTCCCTTACGAGAAACTGAAAAGCGGGGTCCTGGGGGGTGTCAGCCTTGTCGGGGCAAGGGCGAGGGAGTCATCAGGGAGGCCCCCGAGGGCGGATGCTCAGGCAAAGCAGGGGGCGCGGCAGCAGGCGGTGCAGCCGGAGCCGTGGGCTAGACGGGCAGGACAGGAGAGCCGGGCTGGATGGGCGGTGCCGC